TCAGCTAGTAGGTATTATATTATAAATATAAAGTTCAGCCGTGTCGTATTAGAGTAGAAACCGACCCCAAGCTACTTTGGGAAAAGTCTCTGAGGATGGTCTTTATGTTAAACGTCCGGTATTCTATCATTGCGTGGACATGGTCCCGGTGTAATCCCAATGGGCTGGTTACGTTGGTCATAGTCGAGAGGGCAAGCCAGCAACATTGTATTCTTATTTTTCGATAGACGCGGGTGGGTTGTTAACTCCGGCAAATAGTGCATAAGTTCTACAGTAATAGCCAATACAATATATTGTAGCCAAGAGCCTCGACCAACACCTTAAGAGGTGGGTTATACGGCTGGATCAAGGGTCTGATGCAGAAGGCAGTCCTCCTTGACACGGCTCGTATAGTGAGGTGGTTCCTATCTTTGGAGTCCTAACCACCGGTGTCTGGGTCCCTGTACCCGATGTCGGTAGTCTACAATTTTTTTATATATTTAAAAATGTAAATAATATGTATATAAAGTAAATAAAGAGAATAATAATATTTCGGACATCTGGCATACAACGCCATCTAGTTTCAAACTAAGCAGAGCTCTAATCTAGGTTGATAGAAACTAGAAAACTAGATTGACTGATAGAATACTTAAATACTTATGTTAAACATACATCACACTTTGTGTGATCCACAAATTATTGTACATGTATGTTTGTAAAGTCCCCCGCGACACAGGATATATTGCTAATGCGGGAGTTGTCTTTTAAAAAGAAAAAAAAGAAAGAAAGAAAAAAAAGTTGTCGTTGTCTATTAAAAACGTCTATACACAGAACTACGATATACTATGACACAATTCAAATAAATTAGCAATGCAACGCTCGTTTTCCAAATCCGTTAAGTACAAATTCTATGTCTGCTGTTTTAATATCATATATACATATATTAAATACGTGAAGAACATTCTTTGTAAAAATCCTTTAAAGAAATTCGTCACACGGAACGGAACCATATCATATTTGATGTGCTGAAAGTTAAAATATAGAATAAGCGTACAAAGCTAAAATAATAAAACAATATGTGCTATAAAGTTCAAAATTATGTGAGTCTTCGGTATATACAATCTACAAGGGTCTAGAATATAGTTAAACCAGCTATGATACAAAGTCTAATGATAATTCCAGCTGCTCTGGTCAATCAAATAAGACAAAAGATTCAAAACAGCCGAATTTCGACGGTGATGTCTAGTATAAAAAAGACGCAGTTTTATTTTGAAGTGTCATCGGTCCCCCAATCGCTCAATCAGCCTAAATTAGACGGTCCGGCGTAGGCGTGGCTTTGACTCAGCGATAGTCGGCCCTCGTTTTTTATCGCCCATTCGGACTCAGAGATATTGGTCACAAAAACTTCGGAGGAAATGACGGGTGAAGAAAAACAAACGTCAATTGTAAATTGTGTCTGAAGAGGGTGATTTTTATTTGTCTATGGTTGAACGAAATTGTGTTTTCAATGACAGTTTTTAAGCAAAAATAAATTTTGTTCTTGTTTCGTCCTATGCTTTAAAATAAACTTAAATAAACCTTCTTTGCAGTCGGATAAAAAAGGAGATGGTTCTCAATTCTTTTATATTTGATAGAATGTACATCCCGTTTGGTTTCATTCAATTAGAAGGAAAAATACCACCCCTAATAATTAAAAATTGAGGAATGAAGGCAGACGCATGAGTTCGATATTTTAAAAGTTAATTATTTGTATAGAGCTTCGTACAAACTGTCCGGGGCAGTTTTTCATGTTACAGAAAAGAATTTGGATAACTACTATCATACCTTGTCTTAAATAATATTATTAAACCTTTCTAATAACTCAATCTTAACTCATTAATTAGGTTCATAAATTTTATATAAGAAGATAATAAAAGATACACGAAAGAAAAATCTAATTACAATATTTTTCAATAATTTACTTAAAATAATTGTTTTCCATATAACTTGATGGAAAGTAACGATAAAGGCGAATATTGTACACGCATATTTAAAAGGAACCCATTCAGTTTATTCTTGAAAGATCCATAACCACATTTATATTAAAAAAGAGATGCAGTCAATTTATTCCAGACTTTAGTGACTCGGAACGAAATGAGCTGTCAAAGTGTTTAGTACGATAATTTAGTATGTTAGCAATGAAACAATCGACTTTCTGTGTGTCTAACAGACCTAAGAAATCCTTAAGAGTTCAATCACTACAATCAGAGCTTTTATACACTCACTATAGGTAATTTGTTTATTACGACGATGCTCAAGATTATTACTATTGACTAGCCCATTGGACTTGTGGTTTGTAACTCTGTTTAGAACTCAGAACAAATAATTGTGTGATTAGCACGATTATTTGTTACGTGTGTGTATATCTAAAACTGGAAAAAAGTAGAATGTTTATTTTGGTATTAGACAGCCGTGTGTGTGATGTTTCTATTTATTATATTATATAGCTATGATATTTTTCCTAAGAATGTCTCCATTATTAAGGCCACAGGTTCAGAATAAATATAATAATAATAATTAAAATTCAGCATGATATCAAACCTCATTAATCGCTGCTTCTCATTTTATTTGTGTCAATTTATGTCTAACTAGCTGGTACCCGCGACTTCGTTCGCGTGGAATCTGAAAAGCACTTCTTAAGTTGGTTCGATGCCCTGACAGGGCAACATTTTAAAGAGTTTTTTTTGAGAGGAAAATAGCCTAAGTTTCTCCTTATATAGACAGCTAACTGGTAGAAAAATATTATCAAAATCAGTCTAGCCGTTTGGGAGATTACCCGAAACAAACAGATATCCAGACAGACAAAAAACTAGTTATTAAGCATAGGTATTGTGCAAATAACCGTGTGAGCATGAAAAAGACGTATTATTTTGACATTACAAACAGACACTTCAATTTTATTTATTTGTAAAGATTTTTTACTCTAATAATTAAAAAAAATACAGAACTTGTAACAGCGAATTCATTATAGCATTTCACATAACTAGCGATTAAAAAGAAAACTATAAAAATATAATAATGGTTTAGGAACTGTCAACATAGCTATTAGTTATAAGGCCACCCTGTTTCCCTCTTCCCGCAAAACGTCATGACGATATTTTATTGCGAACCGTTTAGTCGATTTTATTGAAATCGCATTTGCGTTTAGACGATTAACAATCCACAAAAATTGATTGTTATATAATCTGTTGTAACTATTTAAAAAGAGAAAATGACTTTAAATCATGATTGTCAAATTATATTCATGGCTAAATAGGCCTGTTCGGTTTATATTGACTGCACGGATGGCGTAGTGGTTTAAGCGGTCGCCACGCCGCTTCTACTGCGCCGAGTGTTGTGGGTTCAAACCCCTCATGGGACGACACTTTGTGTGAGCCACAAATTGCCGTTCTGAGTCTGGGTGTTCTTTGTGTCCGTTTCATGTATGTTTGTACAGTCCCCTGCGACACAGGAATGTATTCCTAATGCGGGAGTTGTCTTTAAAAATATATATATAAATATATATATAAATATATATATTTGAGGGGCCTGTTGGTCTTGTGGTTAGTGACCCTGACTGCTAAACTGGAGGTCGTGGGTTCGATTCCAACCCAGGATAAATATTGTGTGATGGGTACGGTCATTTGTTCTGTGTCTGGGTGTAATTTATCTATAATATGTATCTATTTAAAAATAAGTATGTTTATCAGCAGTCTGGTTACCATAGTACAGGCTCTGCCTAGTTTGGAATCAGACGGCCGTGTGTGAGATGTGTGAGATATATTATATTACTAGCTGAACCGCGCAACTTCGTCTGCGTCTCTCAATAGTAATAAATTTTCTCCGTTTTTGAAACATTCTTCATTGGTGCACCGCTCCTATTGGTCTTAGCGTGATGATATATAGCCTATAGCCTTCCTCGATAAATGGGCTATCTAACACTGAAAGAACTAATCAAATCGGACCAGTAGTTCCTGAGATTAGCGCGTTAAAACAAACAAACAAACAAATAAATAAACTCTTCAGCTTTATAATATTAGTATAGATTATATATTATATCAAACTTGTATTATAATACCACATTATGTACTACCCCATTTAAAGCAAATAAATAATTTGAATTTGATTTAGCGCATACTTCGTCTGTGTGGAAAATGTGTACCTGCATGTAGGCAGATGTATGTATTTAATACTTATATAAGCACCTGCTTTTATCTTATATATAAAATTCTCGTGTCACAATGTTTGTTCCCGTACTACTCCGAAACGGCTTGACCGATTCTCATGAAATTTTGTGTGCACATCGGGTAGGTCTGAGAATCGGCCAACATCTATTTTGCATACCCCTAAATGGTAAGGGTGACCCATCCCTAATTTTTTTTGTTTTGCAATACAACTTTTGCTGGGTCAGCTAGTAATTAATAAGGACATACATTCACCTCCAAACCTTTTTTCCAAACTCAGCTTTAAGTCTACTATGATATGGTTGAACTTAGATTTTCACGGGGAGCGAATGCCATCAGACCTCCACAACCCAAGTACGAAGCGATATCGAAGTTCTGTAGAAAGACTAAATACATACATTATATCGATACGCGACTGCAGTCCATGTGTCCATGAGGCCTCGGGTTCGATTCCCGGATTTTTCTGAGAGGAAAAAAAGCTACCTGACAGTACTCGTAAAATATTATCAACAACAATCAAACATCCGAACAAACCGACAGACAGACAAAAAATATTTAAACTGGTTTTTAGTCATAGGTACCGTAAATAACCGCGTGAGAATGAAAAAAACATATTATTTTGACATTACAAACAAACACTTCAATTTTATTTATTTGTACAGAAAATTAAACCCAGACTCAGAGCAAATGCTGATGCCCACGAATTCAGACTTAGCAGTTAGAGTCACTAACCACTACCCCACCAGGCCAGTCCAGTAATCCCAGGCCAGTCTGTCAAGTAAACTAAAGTAAAAATACATATATATCTTTTTTCATCAGGTAACGACTCAGAACCAGACCAAGAAGATTCTTCAGACGCCCCTCGCGAGAGTAAAGCTCGCAGAAGAAGAACCGCATTCACATCAGAACAACTTCTTGAGTTGGAGCGAGAGTTCCACGCCAAGAAGTACCTGAGTCTCACGGAAAGATCACAAATAGCGTCTGCTTTAAAGCTTAGTGAAGTGCAGGTATTTATATTATTTTAAGCTTGCCTGAAAGCCGTACCATACGATATTACAGCTACGGTAACCAGAACATATATATATATATATATATGTATATATTTCATTGTATACATATCTAAACAAATAAATTAAATTGAAGTGTCTGTTTGTGATGTCAAAATGATAGGTTTTTTTAATGCTTACACGGTTATTTGCACGATACCTATGCCTAAAAACCAGTTTAAAAAATTTTTGTCCGTCTCTCTGTCTGTCTTTCTGTCTGTTTATTCCGGGTAATCTTCAAAACGGCTTTACCGATTTTGATAATATTTTACTACCAAGTAGCTGTCTATATAAGGAGTAACTTATGCTATTTTTCTCTTAGAAAAACCCTATAAAATTTTGCATGGTCCGGGAATCGAACTCAGTCAAACAAATGATCGTGCTAATCACACAATGTTTGTCCCTCTACTGTCTTGAAGAATATTGATGATTCGAAACCCACTATCGAAGAAACTTAAGCAGAAAAGTAGATTTAACTCTGTCTTCTACTGTTGGTTTCCTTCCTCAGGTAAAAATTTGGTTCCAAAACCGTCGTGCGAAGTGGAAACGCGTGAAAGCTGGCCTTGCATCGGGAAGCCACTCCAGCAAGAACAGCTCCGGTACCAAGATTGTAGTTCCTATACCCGTCCACGTAAACCGCTTCGCAATACGAACTCAACATCATCAGATGGAAAAACAGAATCTTCAGTTCAGGTATTATTTTTTATTCATGATTTAAAAGACTTCCAAAAAATAAATATATCTGAATGTGTTTGTTATACTTGGAAACTGATTTGGAAATATTTTTTTGATTCAGAACTGTTTGCCGGTTTGGTCCCATTCAAAATTTAAGAAAAAATTTGTACCCCTAAGAGTGCAAAATTTAGTACTGAGTTTATTTTAATTTATAAACAAAAACATTATTAAAAACGGTATTTTTGTGTAATTGTAATTAATATAATGTTTTTATAATCCCTTAGACAGTAACAATTAACGAGTCCAAAACGGGTTGTATTTTCTTTAAACAGCAGTAAATTAAATATTTGTAGATAAAAATTAAAAAAGAAAAAACTAATTCCAAATTTAAATTGCAGATTAGAGAGACAACAACCACTACCGGGCAGTCTACTTCAATCTCAGAGTTCAGCATTCCTCAGCGCGTCCAAAATCGATCGATTAGACACTAGAGAGGTGCTCAGTCCTCGTCACGGGGGCAGCCCTATTTACGACGCGTCAATGCCTCGTATAGGTGCCATGAGTTCTAATAATATGAGACATTATCAGTCTAGGCCTAGTTAATTATTTAGATAATTAAATTTTAGAGTATTTTAAATGTTAGGCGTCTGCGGCAATCTATTATTTCGTGATTATACCTGTTTTATGTAAACTTTTTGCTTTTAAAAGAAAGTTCATAGGCGGCGTTAGTCGCTTTACATCAGGTGACCTGTCTGCTGGTTCGCCCCCTTTTGGGCCTTTTTGGCCTTTTTTTAGCTTGTGATCCTGACTGCTACGACGGAAATTGTTTGGGATCAGATAGAAGTGTTAAAGCTGTGTTAAATTATTATTGTTTAGTTTTTTCTATTTATTTAGAATTTAACCACTAAATCAGAGAAACACCAAACACAGAAACACCGGTTATAGAGGGGGGTGAGAGGAATGAATTCAGGATATTGCCAAACCTCCCCAATGCTCTCAAACATGCAGAATTCATTACTGATGTTGACATTTAAGAGCATCGGTGAAGCCTTTAGATCAAAACGAAATTAATTACACACAAATATCTATTTAATACTTTAATTCTGATTGTGCAATGTGATGCACGGTGGTAAAACACCGAACTGTGTCTCTTTTTGGAACGTGAGTCGTCTCCTCCTGGATTGTAGATTTATTGCTAAAGGCAGTAATCAACTGTCACTGTTAAAATCCGATCGAAGGCTTATTTGATTGCTTCACATATTTTCAGCTGTACCTAGAAATTATTTTTTGACTCCAATATTTGCTCAATCAATGAACGTGCTTACAGCAAACTGAACTTGCTCTGTTGGACATAGGCTTTTCTCTCAATTGCGCTATACCGATTGTTCTCTCGCCTTAAGCTTCTAGTCTATCCCAACTACCTTCTTCAGATCATCAGTCTATCTGATTAGGGGCTATCCTGCCTTCCGTTTTTCGATTTACGGTCTCCTCAAATAGGAACCGTTACCGTCGTCCTCCGGCTGACGCAACCAATCCTTTCCTTCGAGATTATTTTTTTTTTCTTTAAAAAGACAACTCCCGCACTAGGAATATATCCTGTGTCGCGGAGACTTTACACAAAGAACCCAGACTCAGAACAACAATTTGTTGATCACATAAAGTGTCGTCCCACAACACTCGGCGCAGTAGGAAGCGGCACTGCGCCATTCGTGCAGTCATATCATCATCGTGCATCATGCTCAACTAAAGTTTGTCGTTAGAAATCCTCTTACATGTTCAGCGGTAGCCTTCTGTGAAAAAAACATAGACTGAAACAGGTTCTAATAAATTAAACAGTTAAATCTCGTTCAGACGCTTAACATTTACTATACTCTGGATAAGTAGAATATTAAAGTTTTTGAAGTACGCAGTAAAGTGATATACTTATAGAAGAAACCTGGTCACCCCTGCTGTGGAAGACCATTATACAAAATTACCAGCGTTGTGCAGAAACGATTTAATCCACAAACTATACAAATTAATTATATCACATATATATCGAAAATTGTATTTTTTGGTGCAGTACCGTAGGCGACCGCTGTGCTGAGGGCTCAATTCTCGGGTCGGACCAAATTTTTGTATGATCTGTAAATATTTGTTTCAGAATGTATTTATAAAAAAAATTACATAGTTTGAAACAAGATGGCGTTGTGTGTTAGATGTTCGAAATATTTATTCTTATTATTTATTTATGTGGGCTCAGTCTGTAACATTTTATGGTGGGAGAGCAAACCTTAGGCACACACGGGTCAGGCACGACCGGAATGACACTACGGCCTCACAGGAAATTGGTGTTAAGCTGTTCTTTTATTACTTTTCACCGAAGTGTGAGATAACCGGAGCCCAATCCCTTCCATTCAGGGTAAACGGAAGGGCTTTTTTTTCCTGCACTACAAATTTCTCCTGTATCGCAGGGACTGTACAGACATTTGACAGAAACTATATTAATACTGCAGTAGTGCCAATAGCTCAGGGTCGCTTACCGTCAGAGGCCACTTGAACAGGAACATCAACATGTCTACTCACATACGTAAGTAGTAATGACGAAAAAAGATTTCTAATCTATGCTTTATTTTTAAACAAATACAGATCATTTTTGATAGTTCACAAGCAATACTAAAAAAAGTAAAGTTAAAGTTAGGTCAGTTAGTGGATTAGACCATTTCTGCATAACACAGTGTATTAAAATACAGTCTAATATAGCTCTGTTAATTCAAGACTGTGTTAAAAAATCCCTGTATTTCTTTTAACATCGATAAAAGGATTGAAATAAGTCTAGCTCTGCTAAATATGGATAATAAAATGTGTGGTTCTTTCTTGTCTGTATATGGTTTGTGATTAATGGTCTCCATGAACTTTCTTTGGGTAATTATTCCATAAAATAATGTTTTACTATCCAAATGCTTGTGGATTTACTATCCAATCACGCAAACCCCATTCAGTAACAACCCCAACGACTAACTAACCCATTTAGTTTAGTCACACGGGTTTCATAAGAATATTAGTAATCTATAACTCATATTACTAATTTTCTTAAAGAAAACACCAGTATTTAACAAAAAAGATATTATGTATTGAATTTTGAAAGTATATAAAAACGATGTACAAAGAAATTTTGTTTTCTATTTTTCGCAATTGTGTATAAAGGATAAAGGTTTTCGTCCGTCTCTTTTATTTATGAATTTATTTTAAAATACAAATCTAACATCAGATAGATATGAAATAACATGTAAAATATTAAATTGTAATAAAAGCAATGCCTATATGATAATGTCAAATTATTATTATTAAACAATGTGTGATAAAATTAAATCTATGGTTTTATTTTAATCTGTAGAAAAAAATGTCCTCTCTAAGGTATTTTTAGACCGATATGACCTTAAGACCTTCCAGAAAACAGCGTACTTCCATTTCGAAGGTCGACAACGCTCGTGTAACTCTTAAACTGCAGCTGTCTGAGAAGTGGTAATTAAATATTTACAAATACATACATATTTATAGGTTAATTATACCCACACAAAACCACTGTCCGTGTGGTTCGGAAGAATAAGGAATGTTGCCACCCCTATTTATACCGTGGGTGTCGTAAGTGCCGACTAAGGGAGCAAACTATGCAGGACAACAGCATTGCAAAGAGAAGGAAAGCTTGACACAAACCCTGTACCATCCCGTCTGGTAAGCGTGGTATCATCAACATCATCAACAGCCTATACTAGTCCACTACTGGACATAGGCCTCTCCTTAGAAAGGAGGTTTTGGCCTACTATACCAAGAAATAATTCTTTATTTAGCCCACATCTTTAATGCAAATACAGACTTACCACTATGCAATAAAGTCTAAAATTGAAGTCATAATAGTTTGACCACCGTTCCCACCATTAATTAGAAATCGAGAAAGATTTGACTTATTATTATTATTACCGACTTGTGGGAATATCTGAAAACATTTACTTGTAGAAATAAATATAATTTTATTTTTTAATTTAATACGTGTTAAACAAAAACCTTAACAATCTATAATTTATTTAAAGATTTATTTCAGTTTTTTTAATAACTCAAAGGGTTTCAAACTCCGGAACCCAAAACATTAACTAGTGTCGCGTTTATCGCCTTTCAAGGAGCAAATAAGATGATCAAGCCGTCCCCAACCTAGTTTGGGGAAAAGGCTCAGAGGAAAGAAGGATTATAGTGGACATGGTACCTACAAAACAACTACATATATAGTCTATAATAAAAATAATTTGCTACAAGTTACATACGGCCGTGTGATCCCAAACTAGGCAGAGGCCAGAGACTCTACTATTGCAACCAGATTGTTGGAAAATAAAACTCATATGGCATAGTCTTCGATCAACAATAGCAAATTATTTTGCTATTGTTGATCGAAGGGCATAGTGGTTTAAGCGATCGCCACGCCGCTTCATACTACACCGAGTGTTGTGGGTTCGATCCACACATGGGACGACACTTTGTGTGATCCACAAATTGTTGTTCTGAGTCTGGGTGTTCTTTGTGTTCGTTTCATGTATGTTTGTAAAGTCCCCCGTGACACAGGATATATTCCTAACGCGGGAGTTGTCTTTAATAAATATATATGACTAAGTACATACATACCTATCCGTACCAATGCTGTAAATGCGAAAGTGTGTCTGTCTGTCTGGCTGCCTGTGTGTTACCTCTTCACGCTTAAACTGCCGAACCGAATTAGGTGAAATTTTATATAGAGATAGTTCGAGTCCCGGGAAAGAATATATGATGGTTTTAATCTCAGAAATCATCCTTTAGGGGGTTAAAAGGGGGGGGGGGGGGATTTTGTATGGGTAATCAATACCCTGCTGGACATAGGCCTCTCCCATTGCACGCCACTTAGATCGATTTTTTCTTTTTTTTTTTTGGCCTATGTCTAGCAGTGGACTGCGATAGGCTGATGATGATGATGATGAATCAATACCCGCTGAATCTATTTAAATGAAACTTGTTAATAAAATAGTTTGATTTTTGAGGAAGGACACAGTCTTTTTGAAGGTAATTACAGAAAAATTACATCTTTACACAGATGCTCATCACACAATTACTTATCCCAGATGTGAATCAAACCCACTACCTCTGTCTCAGCAGTCAGTAACCACTAACAGTATTATATTAAATTTTAGCAATAATTTATAATAATCATACAATAATAAACAGCATCACTTACGAACAGATGTGTGAGATTGTTCATCACGCTATTTAATCTAGGGGCGGGGCAGAGCGACAGGCCCGCGGGGCTCACACAATATAACAAAGAGTAAAATCGGTGACAATTCGCAAGCTCCAAAGTCAAAGTTGAAATGATCAGCTGCAGTTATAATATATATGATGGGGTATTATCACGCCTGTTTTGGAATACCGAGGTTTTTTAAGGCATAGGAGTGTGATGGTATCCGTGTGGTGAAGGATTAAGAATACAGAGAGTCACCACCCCTATTCATTTCGTGGGTGTCGTAAGAGGCGACTAAGGGAACAAACTACGCAGGACAACAGCACTGCAGAGAGAAGGAGAACTTGAAACAAACCCTATACCA